AAAAGACACAGGTGGACATACTGTTCTTATGCAGTATTTTACACGAAATCAACATGTAAATTTCTCAGTCATCGATGTCTTTATTATTTTTTATTCTGTAACAATGAATTCTGTCCCAGCTGTATTTATTTTAAAAGACTTTAGTATTTGTTATGTAAAAGAAATGATTGGTGAAATAAGTTTGCCAAGTCTCCTACTTAAATTTCCTGAGTGATATAATTGGAATTAAATTATTAATGGGAGATACTTTTAAAAAGATTGTTTTATGATCTTCTATTAGGGAATTTGCAATTCATTTTAATATTTGTAGTTTGATTTATATTAAAGATAATGCAATCTATGTCCAATTAACAATACATGGCCAATGTAATATGATTTCCAGATCATGCAAATGGAATAAGCTAGAAGGGGGAGCAAAACTCAATTCTTAACCTCAGATGTAATTTGCTGTGAGAGTGCTGGCAATTTTAAATGACATTGCACTTTTTAATTTTTCCAAAGGCTCAGCAGCAAATTTATCCCAATCAAGAAAGCCTATTATTAATTTACAAGGACAATTGTAGGAGTCTTTATAATTTCTCTATGCAATTATTCACCATAAATTCTAGTGGTAAAATACAGGAGTTTGCAAGAAATAGGAACCATTATTTGTCTTGACCCTGAACCTCCTTCCTTAATCTTGGATAGCTTCCCCAAGTATTGGTGGTACTGACTCCTGTGAAGCATCCCATACTAGTCTTCTGGAAAAGGGAACAGCACAGGCGCTACTGCAGTGGCAACATTGGCCTCTAGCAGTACAGCTGAGCTATGGACCCTGGACTTTCCTATAAAAGGACTCTTTGTTCACCATTGAATGGCATTAGGCATGGACTTGCTGAGGGGCCACCATGAAGCCTGGAATGAGGAGGGCAAACACAAGCTGGAGAGTATAATATAGGAGTCATAGACAGGCACATCCTTGCACTTTAGTACAAAAATGCATATGTTCACACAGTAATTTTATGTTTGGGTGTGTTCCTTACATATACCTTGTTGTTACTACACTAAGATATATTTTATTTTCACAATGTATCTGCCTATTGTGTGTATGGGAAGGTGATCATGGCAAATATACAGGTGTTGGAAATACTAAAGTGCTCAGGGCAAAGATACTCACATTTGTCATTCTTATAACTAGATCACTTTTCTTAACTCTTCCTAATATAAAGAAATATGTTGTAAGATGTAACTATTTATAACCCAATAAGCAGAATTCTAATACTCAAGAACATTATTTGGTTTAATTCTTGTGTTTCTCGTAGCTAAATCTTCACTCCCTGTTTAGCAATGTCTGGTCTCTTTTCAGCATAACCAACAGAAGCACCATACAAAAGTCTTACAATGGATGTCTTAATCTCTCTGTGTGCTTTTAGAGCATTATTTTGAATTCCATCATGCTGCCTTTTTTCTTTCCTCTTCTGAAGTTTTATTACAACAGCAGAATTCCCAGGGAGCTTTGGGGGCAAGGTTCACATAATATAGCCCTGAAGTTTTGCTTAGGTGGAAGCCATCCCCCAATCCTGGCCATCTTTTGATGAGCTTTCTATTTCAAAATAGATTCACTGGGTAGAGTCTTACAGCATTAGCTGCACACAGTTTATTTTTTATTTTTTTATTTACTAGACAGTGAGCATCTACAACCCTTTCATGATGCTTTCTTTCTCTGACCTCACAGTGACAAGGCATCTTGTTCTTTAACATTGAGGGAGGCAGAAAAATGCTTGAGTTGCTCAATGTGTGCCTTCTATACCAGTTTCAAAATGGCTTATTCTTCTGGTTTCCATGGTGACAATTAACACTGTTTCAAGGCATTGTTCCAGTCTCCATTTGGGCAGAATTTTCTGTGTGATTTTTAACAAAAAAAAAAAAAAAAGGTTGGGGTTGGGGAGGAGCCTTTAAAATAACTGTCAAAAAAAGTTATCTCAATCTAGTCTGCATCCATTTCTAAGTATATTTATTTCAGAACCTCTTGTTTTGTTGGCTTTGTTTTATAATTCAGTTTTGGCATCTTGTGCTTTTAAAATGCAAGCTCTCAATAAGAATTTTATTTTAATTCTTAGTAAAAAAAAAACAGTAAGCTACTAAGGTACTATATGTAGTTATTTTGAATGCTTTTTGAAAGTTTTCTTTTAAATAGGAATAATAGTATTTAGGATACTGTGTCTTTAACTTAGATCATTCACAAATCTATTAGGAAGATTCATTAGTTAAAATTGAATTGGCCAAGCAAATACACTTAATAATGTAAATATTTCCTTTCAATAGAGTATATTTTATTTTTGACTAGACAGAAAGACCCACAGCAGGTGCTATGGGGAAATTAAATACTGAATGCTTATTTACTTTAGCACTCCAGAAAAGCCAACTCACTTTAACTTTGCTAATCTCATTTTTGGCTATTGAAAAGAAGTCTATATCATAACATCCCCAGACTACAGGACACAATGGGACAGCCCCTGCTCACTTACTGCTGTGGTGAAATGAATATGAAGATTAAATTATCTTCTCACCACAGGATAAAGTAGCCCTACTTGATAGGATGAACAAGAAGAGATAGAGCTGGCAGTCGACTCTCTCCATCTAATGTTTCTGAAAAGATGTTACAGAGAGAAAAAAAAAGCAAAAATATACTAGCATTGACAAAACTATAACCTCCTGGCATTACTATACATACATGGCTTGAGGCCCTAAATCATTTCAGGTTCAAGCTTCAGAGTACTCAAAAATTAAAATAAATATTTTTACCTTAAATTTCATGACATTCTAGTGCCTTTCATTCACATACCAATATATCTAACAATTAACTAGATTCTCTTAGCTTTTAAAGTTTGAAGACAATGTCTATCAATCACATTTTCCATCAGGCTGTTTATGGATTAGGATTCATGGTGACAAAGAGAGCATACATAAAAACAAGTTTTTTTTTAATGTAATAGCCATTTTAATAGCTATTGCTGTAACTACTTATACCATATTACACAGTGAAAATTATTTTATTACGTCTAAAATTAAATTAGTTGCTTTTTATTTTTATTATTACAAGATTATTGTTTTTATGGGATACATCTAAACTGCTCTCTTTCTTAACTGGTTTGCTGTGTAGGAGCTGCGCAAAATTGGGGCAAAAAGAAAAGACGAGAGAACCACAAATAAAAATGTTAGTCAGTAGAAGCCACTCCCAGAAGGCATAACCAGTGGACTCATTCTCCCATAGATGACTGCTCTTGGCAAAATGGAAACATTTGAATAAGATTGCTTGTCTGCCTGAAATTCTGGTTTCCCCAACATTATGTCAGTCTCATCAAATTAATCATGTAACTCTTTACAAGGGAATCTGATTACATGAAGCAGATTTCCCTCTCCATCAGTCTTCAAAGTTTTCTAGAATGCTTGTTAAGTATTCAATCCAGAAAACTCAAGTGGACACTGTGTTTTCTGTGTTGTAGTAATGTGGTTCTGGTAATTGCTTGATGTTAGAAAATGTAATCAGAATTTCCCATGTATTACAGGCCAGATTCTGAAAGCACTAAAACAACTCTTGATTTTCTTCAATATGCATATTCATGTAATTTTGGATACTCTGACACCCTGATCAACATTCATTAATAATATGAAATGCTTTAAATCACCTCATTTAAAACATTTTGTTCTATGATCCACAAATGACTAACATTTGGAGAAGTTTACATAATACAAATGATGTTCATGTTTAGTGTAATGAAAGATTAAAATATGAAACTAAAAGTATGCAAACATATGCATGCAAATGCTGAAGATCTATTAATTGAAACAGTGATTTCACACCTTCTTTTCTTTTAAGCTGCTTCCAATTGTATTTTACTTTGAGAGCTTCTGTAATACCATGTTTTCAAGGGGAATGAAATCACCCAAGTACATGTTTTAACTTTCTGATTAGCACTACTTTGCTTGGACAAAAGTTTTTCTTAGTGGATCTGATAAGTATTACACCATGGTCATTTAAGTAAAAAGATCAATGCTACCGTAGAACTCAGTAACCTAATAATTTTTTTAAAGTATAGTATGTGCTAAAATGTAAAATATGTTTGATTTTTCCTACTGAGATATTTTTACATATATATTAAAATATAGTCACAATTACTTATAGTTGTCCACTAGACTATGAAGTTATCTAAATAGAGTTATTGAAAAGAATCACCACAGTAATTATCTTTTTAAGTAGCTTCTACATTATCTCCAAGAAAACGCCTTTTAAGAGAGACTCATTTGGCAGTTTGCTAAATTTCATGTATATTGGGGGATATATATGTATATATTAAAGTTTTATAATATACATGAGCAGCTTACAGTAATAAAGAATATAATTTTGTAACCATTCCTAAATTATTGTTTCTTCTCTCTATATGAACTTCTTGAAGCCCACACAGATTTTTTTCAGTAAAACAAAAATGAAGACAATTTGTTAATTGAGAGTTCAGAGAACTTATAGGTTAAGGAATAAGTCCCATAGGAAATGAGGTATGGCTCAAGTAGTAGAGCTCCAGCTGTACTTTAAAAAACAAAAAAAAGCTGAGTAAGAGCTTGAGGCATTGAGTTCAAGTCATCATACCAGCAAAGGAAGACATATACTCTTCTTATTTTGGAGTTTGTCTTTTGGAAACTGAGATGACTTTTGGCTTTGTAATCAAATGTTGACCAAAACTAACTATAATATCAAATATAAACTTAATTTTAAAAAGACATATATCAGTATCATTGATAGAATAACTTAGATATTTGTGTGTATGCATAATAATGTAATTTGATAATATGTTTAACTGTTTTCAACAATATTCCTCAATTACCCATGACACTTAGATTTAGGCTCCATGTCAGTTTCATTGGAAACAAAATCTTTTGCATCCATAAGCATTATAAACTCTGTCAGAGATGTTCTAAAATCACCTCATTCCTAATGATATCTCTTTCTCTTTTCATTTTAGCGGTACAGTGTAGAAATGTCCATCAGACATCTGAAAAAGACGGAGCTGCTTAGTAAGGTTGAAGTTTTGAAGAAAGGTGGCGTTTTACTACCAAATGATCTCCTTGAAAAAGTGGATTCAATTAATGAAAAATGGGAACTGCTTGGGGTATTTGCATTTTTATTACTGTTTGTAGGTTATGTGTACATTTTTTGTGTAAAGCACTCTATCTGTCTGATTTCTAATTTGAGGCACAAATATCTCTCTCTTTGAATTCACTACCTACATTTCAAACAAGCTATTCATGCTATTATGTGAAAAACATTGCTTTTCCTCTTCTGTTGATTTTTTTTATTCTGAGCTTGTCTCTTCTCAGATTTTAATAATTTTGGTTCTCTAATACATAAAAAGTAAGTAAAATATGCCATGTATTATGGGTATGTACCAAGTCAACTATGATACAGTATATCTGATATATACTGACTGTCATGCTTGAATGAATGTTAATAGAATTTATTCTGAAGGTACATGTTAGAGACATCCACTGTTTAACTATTTACTGTACCCTTAAGATGAAAAGTAGAGTTGTCACTACAGCATTCAAGCTACACTAAAGCCACCAAAACAAAGATGCAAATCTGACCCAGATCTGAATTGCAGAATTAAATGGGCCCTTTTTGGTGTGTGCCTCAATTTCTAGCTCACTTTTAACAAAAGCAAAAAGAGAGAGAAAGAGAGAGAGTTTTGTGTAATTCATTTCACGGAATGATGGGCTGGGTCTCAGCCAAAGACTGAGATGCAAGAATCTGGCAGAAAGGCAATCTAGGGACTCTGTTACCCAGACACTAGGATGGCACTGTGCAGGAGACAGTACTGTCCCCTGGTTGGAAGACAGCAGAGAGGGAGAAGTTAACCTGTAGTTTTTCATCAGCTTCTCTCCTAAATTGCCTTCACTTCAAATCAAGGGTAAGCTAAATTTGTCAATTACCTGAATGATTAATCATAACAGCTAAGTATGGGTAGTGTCAGTTATAGAGCATAATTTTTCATGCCTTCCATTTTTTTGCCTCTTTAAATTTTTTAAAGAAATAATACTCCAAAAATATTTTGAATTAGAAGCTCTCCATGTACCTTGATGAATTGGAGAAATGCCAGTCCTGCATTTATGCCATGCTTAATCACAGTGATTAAAAACCTGCAAGTTTAAGTCCTTAGTTCTCATCTAAATTCTATACGTTCTACAGTTGTGCAGAGGAACTTAAAATGCTAAAAGTTCTTACTCTCTAGCCTATTGTTACATTGCCTTTTAAAAGTAATTAGTGCCTTGCACTTTATAGGATGGTGATTTAAATCAGATCCTACTAAATTCTACAGAATCCATTGAGAGAATGAGGAAAGTAGAGAGTATATGATATTTTAAAATGTTGTTTACAAGATAGATAAGAGTAGCAGGTTTATGTTCTTGATAGAGAAAATAATAGTCTATTTCTATTTTATTTGAATATATATTTTAATAATTTGACAAATAATGAACAGTGGTCCCTTTTGAAATCTGTTTGAAGTATGCCATATATATTTGCTTCTTCATCACAAAATTTTAGTCAATATTACATTGAAGAAACAATATTTTACTGTTCCTAATGAATCAGAGACCTTAAAAGTGGTTGCCATCTTGACATAATATCATTCAATTACAGTGTGTAGTTTTGTGAGGCTTTAGGAAGAAAGTGGAATAGAGGGAATATTTTAACAAAACCTGTACCACACTAATACCACCAGGCATACTGTTTTAATTGGCATGATTACATTTTAATTGGCATGAAAAAAAATTAAAGACAAGGATTTTAACTTCTAACAATAGTAAAATAGAGGGATATGGTTTTTAATATTACTTTCATCTAAGGTGAACAGTGTGGAATGGAAATACATTAGAATGAAATGTCAGTGGTGCGTACAGTTTAATCTGTGAAATTTTGTCCCCAGTGCTGCATATTACTCTGTCTCAATTGCATATTAAACAACCCTATCAAGGCAGGCATTGGCATCTGCTGTGCTGACACAAATTGTGAATTAAATGAAATTGATGTCCTCTGTCGTATATTTATGAAGACGGACCATTCTCTGAAGTATTCTGTTTATGAAGAATTTATGATTGCAAACTGTTCCAGAACAAAAAAGTGGCAATAAATTCTTTTTTGTGACCCTACCCTCCAAGGGCATTGATTTCACCTCCTGCTGCTACTTTTGTTACAGCATAAAAACAATAGCTAAATCTGAATTCCACTGAGAGTCTTTAAATTATCAATATTTACACCATGAAAATACAAGGGTGTTGCCAAAAAAGGCTATTTTTCTCTTACAGTCTCCTAAAGATCCTATTTACAAAATACAGCACAACAGATGAATGTTTGTTGACTTAATTTTATTTGTGTTTTAAAGCTTATTTTTTGTAGGTTTAATTTATCATTATAGATTAAATCCTATTGATTCTTTGAAGAGAGCGCTTTCCACCAAAAAGAAAAGAAAAACAGTTCAATGTTACCTTCATGCCATAATTGATAATCTAAGTGGGCTCCTAGCACAGTGATTGGGATGATTTTAATACATTTATTAGAGCTTCTAGCATCTACAAGAAAAGTGAGAAGAACTGTGGGGTTGAACAATTTCAAAGTCAGGTCAAATCAGCAGCAGCAGTAAGAAAGCTTCCTCTTTAAAAAATATTACTGTCATATCATTTGGCAAATTGTACTTCACAAAACAAAACCAAATTTAAATCTCTGCACAATCTATCCTTGGCCTCTTTAGTATACTGACTCAAGTCAGGTTTCTATCAAACATTTTATGCTGAGAAATTTTTATTGTATATTGTCATGAAAAGTCAAATGATTTTTTTGGGGGGGGGTCCGGTCGTGAGGCCTGAACTCTGGGCCTGGGCACTGTCCCTCAGCTCTTCAGCTCAAGGCTAGCGCTCTACCACTTGGGCCACCGCGCCACTTCCGGCTTTTTTTTCTTTTTGCTTATGTGGTGCTGAGGAATCGAACCCAGGGCCTCATGCATGCAAGGCAAGCACTCTACCACTGAGCTACCTTCCCAGCCCTCAAATGAATTTTTATCTGTGACAAGAGCGAACTTTTGGACCAAATGTCCTGTTAAGAGTGAATTAGGTTTTTCTAAGCATCCACTAGTTGTTAGAACTCCATGTACTGCCTGAGAAATGGAACCCTAAGTCAAGCAGCAAGCTAATCTGGCCTGAATGTTATCAGTGAGAAATAAGGTACAGCTGGACACTTTCAGGTAGCTTTTATGATGTGCGTTTGGTTCCTAAGCTAATCCATGTTGTTTTGTTTTGTTTTTAATCTGATGTATTAGAAAACCCTAAGAGAGAAGATACAGGACACAATGGCAGGGCACAGTGGATCAGGTCCACGTGACCTGCTCTCTCCTGAAAGCGGAAGCCTGGTAAGGCAGCTGGAGGTCAGGATCAAAGAACTGAAAGGGTGGCTAAGAGATACAGAGCTTTTCATCTTCAATTCCTGTCTGAGACAAGAAAAGGAAGGAACAATGAATTCTGAGAAACAACTCCAATACTTTAAGGTAATAAAAAAACAATCAAAGTTGATAAAAAGCTTTCTTTATGTAGACATGAAATATTTATCAAGTACATAAAGTATTATGCCCCTGTATCTATGTATCACTGTGCACTTAAATGTTTCCTTGAATTTATGGACACCTTCCACATTTCTTATATGCTAATGTCTATATATGTACAAAGATAAATATCAAGCATAGCCAATATACATTGTGTAGAGGAAGTCTCTGCTGCCTATGTGTTTTATACAATGACAGTTGAGAGAGGACTTTGATAAATTCAAAGCAGATCTGTATACACAAAGATTTGCTGGCAACTCTGAAAGACAGACCTAAGCATTCTATAAATAACTTGGCAAAAAATACTTCTGTAAATTGATATGTTCAAAGCACATGATTTAATTGAAGACCATTAATGCTAACAAAATAAACTGTTTACACAGGAATTTATTGAGGGAAGAAAAGCAGTGAACAAAGTTCCTACATTATGGCATATTCCATTGGAGAACTGTGCTAACCTTACCAACTCAACTGTTTTCATGTTTGTGTTTATATAGTAGCATTTACTCTGGTTTATTTCTATTCTTTATGTAGTATCTATTCCAAAGTATATGAGAATACCCCTAATTATCTAAGTGAGCCCATACTGCTTGAGCCCTCCAATTAGTGATTGTATCCTTCCTGATGTCAGCCACAGGTTTTAGGTTTGTAGAATGTAATGTGGTGTCAAGAACCATTTTAGTATGAAAGATCTTAAAGAGAAGGGACCACGTCTCCTTTCTGATAAAGAAAGGTTTTGAGATCAAACAACCAAACCCTGGCCCTCGAGGACTAGGTTTTATTCATTTAACCACAGTCAACAATCTGTCAGAGAATGTAGTTACCTTCTCTTTTAGGCACATGAAGCATCTACAAATGGTTTCCAATAACCTACATTTACTCCACTCATATAAATTATTTGTTTAGTTGAGCATGGTGATGCATGCCTGTAAACACATTACTTGGGAAGTAGAGGTAGAAGGATCATAAAGTTTCACTTAGGAGCCCAAGAAGTTAACTGAAAATGTACTACCAAGGTAGAAAATATTTATGGCCTAAAGTTTAATACCCAAATGAGTTATAATTCCCACCCACATACTCCCAGATAAAGGAATATGACATCATCAGATATTTGTCCTTATTTGAATTTCAATTCTCATGCATCTTATAAAACATATTTATAATTATAGGGATGGATATTGCAACCATTCTTCTCCTTCTTGTGTTTATTACAGCTTTAGCGATCTAATTAATGGCCCTTACTTTAGCATTAGACCAAATCCTAGGCCAATTAATCATGGCATGTGTCTTGCATGAACCCTGATGTCTTGATTTCTTTTTCTATAAAATAGGCTTCCATTAGTATTTATTTTACAGTTTTCAGTTTATATGTGTACATTATTATTTCTACTTTTGTAGTGTACATTGATAAATGATAGAAATCTCTTAATAGTATAAGCTCAGAGGTGTTATATAATCATTAGAGACAACAGCAACTTTTCATTACAATTGTTTATCAGCCTACCTACTTACTTATGGTATACATAAATATTTGAAAAAAAACTTTTTAAAACCATTTGCTATTATTACAGATACTTGTATATGTCATCATTAATTTTGCTCTTGTTCCTAGCTTTGTATAGTACAATAACTTTTACTTAGGCCCTAGTAACATATATAAAACTATTTAATAGACAGAGTTAGAGACTGAGAGAGATGGAAGAGAGAGAAAGTAAAGGAGGGAGGGAAGGATGGGTAGAGAGAGCAAGAAAGAGAGAGAGAGAGAGAGAGACAGAGAGACAGAGACAGAGAGAATGTGCCAGCCAACAGGTTTTAGGCTTCCAGATCATAAGATAATTCCTAGCATTGTAGATTTCTCCCAGAATTGAACTACCTACTCTCTGGTCACCAGAAGAATGGTTACTAATTTGTTATTTACCAAATGCTTTTTGCTACTTAAGAGCAATCATAGAATTTTGTTTGAAAATTAGAGAGCATCACATGTTTTTGTGCTATTTTATTTTTCTTCTTTAAAGATGCATCTTGTTGACATCACTCCATTTGTTAGGAAATGGAAAGACTTGGAAAAAATTATATTAAGTGAAGTAAGCCAGGCCCAAAGAAACATAGGTCCCATGGTTTCCCTTAGTTGCAATAATTAGTACATATCTAGGACAAGCAGAAAAGGTCAAATCTATATACATATGATGATAAGATGATGTTAAGTGAAATGAACCCCAAGATAGAGACACAAATATTTTTTTCTTTCTTGCGATTGTTTCTAATGTATTTATAATGTACCATGTGATTTTTTTTGTTTCTTTGTATGTTCCTCCCCCATGGTATAACCCCTGTTTTCACTGTATTTGATATCAGTGCCTTGCATCTTGTATATACTCTTCTCTAATTTGGGGAGGGAAAGGGAAAAAACAAAATGCTTAAATAGGGATACAGGTTGACCCATTATGACAATGAGATGTACAAGACACTATGTTGAAACAAACTTTACAACTTTGGTGGGGGAGTGAGGAAAGGGAGGGGGATAATTGTGGAGTAGGAGGAAGGGATGGAAGGGGAAAAACAAAGGAGGAGGCAACAATGCTTGATAGGAAATGCACTCATTACCTTGCTCATGTAACTGTAACCCCTCTGTACAGTATTTTTACAATAAAAACCGTACAAAAATAAAGATGAAGAAAACATTAAAAAGATTAAACATTAAAAAAGATGCATCTTTTTTTTACCTTAGAGTATTTTTGTTTTCATTGACACTATTCATCGAACTAGTTGCTTTTGTACCCATCTGTTTTGCTTTCCTCAAATATTATATTAACAACAGAGAATCTTCTATCTAAACAAAAGATAGAGTATAAACAATTACGCACACCAAATCCAATGATTTCTCAACCTCATTCCATTTTCTACTTTTCTCCCATAAGCTAATCACGATCCTATAAATGGGAGGCAAGAGAATACTATAATTAAATTAAATTTGTTAAATTTAATTGTTTCTCAATTTCTAAAAAAGATATTCATGCTATAATTCATACTTTAGAATGCCCTTTTATGTTTATTATAATAATTCCAAGACTCATTTTATGTTATTGAGTATTATCTAATTCAATTATTATGAAAATCATTCTATTTCATGTTGTATCGACACAAGTATCTCACTTAATCCTAATAACAATGCTGTGAAGGAATAGCACTGATTCTGATTCTGCATATATGAAGCAGAGGCACAAGGAGGCTAAGTTCTGTCTAGTTAAGTTCACTTTTAAAATAACTTTTTTGTTATTATTGAGGTGTTGTACAGAGGGGTTACCATGGCATAAGTCAAGTAAATAGTACATTTCTTTCTGGAACACTATCACCCCTTCCTTTCTTTTCCCCAGTTTCCCGCTCCCATCTCTGCCCATAAATTACACAGGTCATTTTTCACATAATATCTACTGAATAGCATGATTGCATTTGTTCGCCCTGCCTCCCTCCCATTCTGGGCTCCTTGTCTTTCTCCCTCCCCCTCCCAAAAAGAAAAAAAAAAGCAAGAGCAAACACCACCACCACCACCAAAAACCCAGAGTCACTTTTCATGAGCATAAATCCAAGGCTATCGGACTTTAATGTATGAACTACTATGGAAAATTGGTAATGGCATCTACTATATGTATTTTCATCACAGACAACTCAAAGGGGAGAATAGGATAGAACTAAATTTCATTTTTTTTTGTTTGTTTAGTAGTAGTGGGTTAGAACTGAAGGCCTTGCAGTCACTAGACAGGCACTCTATCTTTTGAACCATACCTCCAGCCCTTTATGGGTTATTTTGTCAGATAAGATTTCCTGGTTTTGCACAGAGAGTACAGCCTTCCCCTTATCTGGAAACACAGGCATGTGCCACCACACCTAACTTATTGGTTGAGATAAGGTCTTGCTATTTTTTTTTCTTTCTTTTTGCTTGCGTTTGCCTTGATTGTGCCTTCCAAGCAGCTGGGATTTTAGGCATGAGCTACCATTCCTGATTTATTATTGTTTTCTGATTTATTCTTTCTTTATGATAGATCTATCAGTTACTATCTTCAGCAATTTGCCCCCAAATAGCAAATAGTTTTAGCTATTCAGTATAATTGGGTTTGACTGTGCATTTGTGTACTGTATCAGTAAAACATATTTTCCATGTGCCTTTTAAATGAAAAAAAATTCTTTTAGAGATTATGTAGACTTGATGACTATTTTCTTTATGATCATAAGCTCTATTTCCTAAGTTTATGGGTTTTTTTTTTGCCAGTGCTGGAGATGGAACTTAGGACCTCATGCACATTAGGCAAGCACTTAAACATTTTAATTTTTAAATATTTCTAAGATATTTTCTCTCAGCGTTTAGCATATGATGAATTAAGTGTTTTATATCTTGCCAGATTCATTGGAAGACTGGAAACAAATGTTTATATTGCAATAAAAATGTAATATAATGTTTATAACTTGTGAAAATCATAACTAATAATAAGTATATGGAAAAATATTTTACTTATCAGAAGCCCAAAGAATAGACAGTTTCTGCCTTTCTAAGTGTTGAAACACAAGCATTATTAAGGGACCTTTCTATTAAGGGAGAACTTATTTGGCATGTTCTGCCTCTTTTTGTGGTTTCCTGCGGGAGAGATGCGTACAGAGGAGGACAAGCTTTCTCCACAGGCTTTAGCTTTATGATTTTCCAGCCTCTAATATAGCTCGAGCTCTTAAGGCAACCGATTCCTTTCTCTAACACCCAGAGTAATGATAGGTATACCACAGTGTACACTCGGGGAGACAGAGGAGCGTGCAGCACAGAGAGATGGGAGTCATTGTCTTTTGAGATAGCACTGCGGGGTTTTTTTGGTTGTTGTTCATAACTAATCTGGGATGGGAGGAAAGAGCAGGATATTCAGTTTGCAGAGAAAAAAAAACAGAAGCAATTGTGAGAACTT